GACTATGTGAACCTCAGCTTCCACAACCCTGCAACCAGAACAAGATGGTAACTGGCTACCATTGCTGACCATTCTGAAAGGGATCATAATAGAAGGTCCTGGATAGAGTGGGATAAAAGTGTGAAACTCAAAATCATCAAAAAGACCAGGCTTACTGGTCTGCTATAGACTAGTGGAACCCCAGAGACTATAACTCTTAGTCATCCTTCATGTCTGGAACTCAACCCACCCCTGTGGCTCAACTTTCAGCCAGATAGACAGGACTGTAAAGTGAACAATAACACCAGGAAGGCACCCTAGAACAATCAACCATATGAGATCAAAAGGGCAGCATTTGCTCAAGGATAAAGCTAAGAAGACAGGAAAGGATAGGAAAGAAGGATGAACAGTAACATTAAACACAGAGAGGAAATGGGAAGAGTGCCATTACATTGTGGGGAATTGCACTGAATGTCACAAAACAAAATGTGCATGAATTGTTGAATGGAAAACCAATTTGCTCTGTAATCATAATTTTAAACAAACAAACAAACAAAACAAAACAAAAAACAAACCCAAACTGAGTATCTAGGTGACCATAGACTGTTAGGTTTTACCACACTACCCTCTTTCCTCTCTGGATTCACAATTCATCATTTTTGTTGTTGTTGTTATGTGCCGTCGAGTCCGCCCGACTCATAGCGACCCCTCCTTGGGTTTCCGAGGCAGTATCACTACGGAAGTAGGATTGCCCAACCTTCCTTCCGAGGAGTGGCTGGTGGGTTTGAACCGCCAGCCTTCTGGTTAGCAGTCAAGTTCTTTAGCCACTATGCTACCAGAGCTCCTTAGCCTTGGAATATTTCTCTTACATTTTTACCAGTGGTGCTATGCCTTTAAAAGTATTAAAGTAAGATAATAGATAATCACTTTCAAGAGTTTTGTTCTTGAAGATGTTTTGGACTATATGTCCACATATTGCTGAAAATGAATGCTCTCAGTTATTTCTAGCATACAGAATGAGGCTCTTGCAATGGAAGACAGAGTTTTGTAAACAGGGTCACTTCCGTCTTCAGAATGACCAGATCCACAAGGCTGGGGCTTGTGACTGATTAATTGCTATATTGTAGGGGAGGCATGGTTGAGTGTGTGCTAGAAATTGTGGACAAGATGGTAGTTAGTTCAGGAGGATTCTCTCCTCCTACTGGAGACAGAGAGCATTGGTATCAAATATTAAGCCATATTAAATATAGACATCTACTTTCAAAAGAAAGATACAAGCCTCTGGGGACCAGAAATGGAGTAGAAAATCCAGTCTCTGGGCAGCTGCATGTTTTGAAGTATTATGGTATGGAGACTAAAATATATAGTGGCATGTGGAATTTCTACTCCTTTGAGGTGGTTGAAAATCAGACTGCTGCCAATGATTAGAGGTTGAAGAGGCACTGATGACTATTTTATAGTTGTGCCTGTGGTAGATCAAGGAAAGACAGATTAAAACTGGAAACTGAGCCATTGTGTGATTGCTTGAAGGTCCCTGTGTGACACAAATGGTTTGTGCTTGACTACTAACCCAAAAGTTGGTAGTCAGAATTCACCAGTGGGACTGTAGAGAAAAGGCCTAGCAATTGGCTTCTGTAAAGATTACAGCCAAGAAAACCATATGGAGTAGTTGCACTCTATAACATGTGGGCTTTCCATGAGTTGGATGGAACTCATTAGCAGTAGGTGTGAGATTTTGGGGGTGATTTCTTGACAATTAGACCTGTATGTTTCCAGACAGACAAGTTACACGAATCCCAAAACCTTTGATTCTGAGTTGTGGCCCTTGGAGTTCTGGGCAGTGGAAACTGTAAAATCATAAATGTGGGGTGCAGAACATGAATTCCCACACAAATCTTGTCCACCAACAAAAATTACTAAGCACATGAGACAATCCAATGTGATTAAATCGAAGTGCTTTTACCTGTGAGGAAATTGAATTAATTGAGCTATTAATTTTTTTTTTTCAATTCAAAATATAAGCGACAAACTACTTTAAAATTCAAAATATAAAGGACTACTATTCAGAAAATAACAAATGCTGGTGAGGAGGTGGACAGATTGGGACTCTCATACACTGCTGGTGGGACTGTAAAATGGCACAACCATTGTGGAAAGCAGTATGGCGATTCCTTCAAAAGTTGGAATTAGAAATACCATTTGACCCAGCTATTCCATTACTAGGTATAT